ATACCTACAATAGGTATCAACCAAATACTCCAGAAGACATCCTAAATACAATAAATATAAAAATAGGAATTTTGAAAGAAATGAATTTTATGAAAAACCAAAGACTAATAAGCCAAAGAGAAAACCTTCAGGGAAATTCTTCCCTAAGGAACAAAAAGGAAAATGTTATAAATGCGGCAAACTTGGCCATTATGCCAATAAATGTTGTGTTACGAAAACTATCAACCAATTGAAGATTTCTGAGGAAGAGAAACTTCGGCTAATCCAAGTTTTGGAATTAAAAGACACTGATCATGGTCAGTTCGAAGATGATTTGGAAGTATCTTCTTCTGATCAACTTTTATTAAGCAATAGCTCATCTTTAGACATCAAAGTCAGATGCACCGATGCTTGTTGCAATAATAAAATTTCAGTCCTTAATAAACAAGAGGAACAAGAGGATTTTCTACTTGAATTAATAAGTAAGGTCGATGATCCTTAATAAACAAGAGGAACAAGAAGATTTTCTACTTGAATTAATAAGTAAGGTCGTTGATCCTGAACTTAAATCCTTTTATCTCAAGAAACTAAAGAAGTTAGTTTCTTTAGATGAATCCAGCACTAGCCAAACCTAATCAACCCCAAAAATCTCTTTTAGCACAACTTTGGAAAGGTTTAATAAGTCTAAGAAAGAAATCACAATTAAAGATCTCCAAAGAGAAGTAAATAAAATCAAAGAAGAAATTAAGCTTCTAAAGTCTGAAAACTTAGAAGTCCGAACACAACTCAGTAGAGTTCAAACACATTTGTTAACAAATCCTCACAAAGAAGAACTAGATGGCTCTTCCTCTAGTTCTGATTCGGGATCCCAATCCATAGAAAATTTAGTCGTAAGTCTTTTAGACAAGATAAGAATCCAGAAATGGTATTCTAAAATTAAAATAATAGAAGATTTTCACTTAGAAACAATTGCTCTGATTGATTCTGGTGCAGACTTGAATTGTATTCAAGAAGGGTTAATACCTACTAAGTATTTTCATAAGTCAACAGAAATATTGAGTGCTGCAAACCAGTCGCCAATGCAATTAAATTATGAAATACCAAAAGCACATGTGTGTCAAAACAATATTTGTTTTAAACCCCCATTTGTTTTAATAAAAAATTATTTCTGATCCATATTAGGTCTCCCTTTTTTAGCACTCATATATCCTTTTAAAGTTCATCACAATAGGATTACCACCATAGTCTTGGGACAGAAAGTCACGTTTGAGTTCTACTTGGAAACAGATCTAAAAAAATTAAGACATTTACAGAAAAAATAATATTTCAAAAACCATTAGTATTATCACTAATCAGTCACAACACATTAATCTCTTAAAAGAAGAAATTAATCACAAAAGAATAGAATAACAGCTAACAAACAAATCTTTGTTAGAAACTATTAATAATTTTCAGAAGAAACTTAGTAAGGAGGTCTGTTCTGACATTCCCAATGCATTTTGGCATCGAAAACAACACATTGTTAAACTTCCATACATAAAAGAGTTTAATGAATCGAAAATACCTACTAAGGCCAGACCAATTCAAATGAGTCAAAAAGTCAGGAATTCTGCAAAACAGAGATCCAAGAACTTCTTAATAAATGAATTATTAGAAAAAGTAAATCACCATGGTCATGCCCTGCATTTTATGTTCAGAAAAACGTAGAATTAGAAAGAGGCACTCCCAGATTAGTTATTAACTATAAACCTTTGAATGAAGTTTTGGAATGGATTAAGTATCCAATCTCCAACAAAAGAGATTTGATAAAAAGGCTTTCCCGAGCAGTTATTTTTTCAAAATTTGACATGAAATTAGGTTTTTGGCAAATTCAAATACATGAATCTAATAAATACAAAACAGCTTTTATAACTCCTTTTGGACATTATGAATAGAATGTAATGTCTTTCGGCCTTAAGAATGCACCAAGTGAATTTCAAATTATTATGAATGAGATTTTTAATCAATATAGTTATTTTCAATTGTTTATATTGATGATGTTCTTATTTATTCAAAGTCAGTAGACAAACATTGGAAAAATTTGCATATGTTTGCTAGAATAATCAAATCCAATGGATTAGTTGTATCTGCTTCTAAGATTAAACTGTTTTAGACTAATGTTAGATTTTTAGGATACAATATTCATCGATCTACCATCCAACCTATTGATAGATTCATTCAATTTACTGATAAATTCCCAAATCAGATTACTGATAAAACTCAACTTCAAAGATTCCTTGGATCACTAAATTAGGTATCAAAATTTTACCTTCATCTTCGTCAACAGGGTAAACCATTGGTTAATCGTCTCAAAGATAATCCTCCAGCATAGTCTACCATTCATACCTCCATTGTCCAACAGATCAAGTCACATGTTAAGAGATTGCCCTGTCTTGGCATTCCAACTCCCAACTCATTCAAAATACTTGAAACTAATGCATCTGATATCGGTTATAGAGGTATCCTCTAACAGCAAACTTCTTACGGATCTCCTAAACAAATTGTTCGTTTCCATTCAGGAGTATGGAATCTTGCACAAAGTAAGTATAGTACTATTAAGAAAGAAATATTATCTATTGTATTATGCATTAGCAAGTTTCAAGATGATTTATTAAATCAATAAATTTTTGTTCAAGTTGATTGCAAATTTGCAAAACATGTTTTACAAAAAGATGTTCAAAACATTGCATCCAAATAGATTTTTGCACAGTGGCAAGCCATATTCAGTATTTTTTATTTTGATATTGAATACACCAAAGACAGCCACAATTGCATTCTAGATTTTTTTAACAAGAGAATTTCTGCAGGGAAAGAATATCAGGAAACAACAGTAGCCAGAGAAGGCTTCCGGCTACTCTTCCACCTCCACCACCAGTAAAAAAGGAATCTATTCCCGATTCCTCATCAGCCTTAACCATCACCAACATATTTACTCCCTTAAGATCTACTGTAGGACATATCCAACCAAATTACCAAAAGGCTTTAGCCAACCCATATGATCCATATTCATCAATGCCATCACCATCAACACCCAGAACACCTAGCTTTGCTAAAACATCCCCCTATGTAAAGAAAAATCCAATGGAATACCTCTTCAGCATCCCCAACCACATTGACAGAAAACAAACCCCAGAAAAACTAACCAAAACAATCTTACCTCTGAATTTCCATCATATACCAACTGAATCTTTCAAAACCCTCAAATACTACCAAGCAATTCTCAGTGAGACTGAAAGCATTGCCATCAAACCCATTTACAGTACCACCCATGAAAACAAAATACTCTACCATTCCCTCCATATTGAAAGCTTCCTTACCAAACAAGAATGGGGACTCCCCCTCTATCACACTAAATCACTTCACACCCAAAATGTTCTTATTCCCAACAACCATTATAATTATTTTGATTATATTCAAGCATGGACCAATATATTCCTACACCAAATATCTGATTTTAGTCACTTTTGGTTCATCACATTTGACAAAAGTTTCAGGTTAAACTTCCCAGCATGGTTTCCCAATTGGTGGTCAATTCACAGCCCAACAGCCAGCTTACTAGATCTCATGCAAATTTTATCATCTAGTTTCTAGAAAAGGTTTAATCAAAGCTGGTTCGACGATAGGATCACTCTTCTACCGTTGTTCATGGCAAAATACAAGGTATCTTGGATCATGAAATGGAACTACGAAGTTGAAACATGACAAGTTTACTATTCCCAGTGGGTTAAATGGTGGGACAAATTCGACTACCAAAAAATTATCAGTTTAGTCTCATCAGAATTTCCTATTGTTCCTATTCTAATGGTATCACCAACAACAACAAAGGCATTGCCAGAAATTCTAGAAAAAACACAATCATTATCAGACATTAGTCATTCATCCTCCCTCAAGGGAAAAACCAAATCATCCAGGTCCTCCAAAACAACAAGTTTGAAGAAAAAAGAGAAATCCTCACAGCTCAAGGAATTAGTCGATAAGCTTATGGCAGAAGCAACTTTGCTGCACAATGAAAAAGAAGACACAAATTCAGACTCATCAGACGCTTCGTCTCAACCCATCAAGTGGGCAGATTACCCACCGGATTCCCAAGACCCATTTGAAATTTGAAATTTTGAAAATGTAATAATTTGTAATCATTTCAGGATTTTACCCATGTAAATCACATAGTAGAAAACCATGTGATTTTTCACAAAAAAACAGCATCAGCAGTAGCAGCAATCATTCAGACATAACACTATCCATGAATAGTAAAATCACTTTTTACTATTCATCCATCATTTCAGCCAGTAGCAACGTGAATCCACAAGGAAAAACATTATCATTTGCCAGCCTTTACAACCTTTGGCACATGCAAGCTACAGATAGCAGCGGGATTTCCAACCTCAATAATCTTACTTCTCTCTACAAAAGCAAAATTCGTTTTCAGAAGAAGGGGACTTTAGACGAAAAATAGCTAAGACTTTTGCGAATTCTCTCAAGAACAGAAGCCATTATTCTGCTCCATCTCATATCCAGTTAAAATTACCAGGATGCCTGCGAGCACCACTGTTTTTCTTATCAATCTTCAGTAGAAGAAATTGTAAGTTGGTTTCCAATTTGAAATAAAATTATTTTAAACTCATATCTGCATCATTAATTTCATTATGAAGAATACTTTCATAACCACTGATTTTGAATGGCATAAAATTCTTACTCAGAGTCAATTTATTGAGTATCTCAAGTTCAAGGTAAATACCAATCGATCATTTATCATCTTCTTCCTTACTGTTTATAGCATTTGGTATGATATATGCACTCCCAATGAACATAATGACTGTAGTCTTGATTATTGTCCTCATAATTTCTATCATTATGAGTAGATATACGCTCCGCACCCATTTGGTCTGTGTGTGTGTGTGTGTATGTATACGTGTCTATATATACACACACATACATATTTTGGATTTTTTGGGTTTTGAATTGTAAAATACACCGAAGTGAGTATGAATGCACAAGCTTTAAGGAAGTTCGTTGAGGAGAATCAGAGATTGGTGTCGGAGTGTGCGCATCTAATGACTCAGTGCAACAAATGGGAGAGGGAGTGCTCACTCTACGATCATGACCTAGAGGCTCTAATGGATTTTGGGAATGAGGCTGATCAGCGTGCTAAGGAGGCCAAGATTCGTGATCAGGAGTTGGAGGACGAAGTCAGAAAGTTGAGGGATGAATTGGCGTTATTTAAGTACAAAATGGAGATGAATTCGGTAATTTCTTCAACATTTTATTTTTATCTTTTTTGCACTGTGAATAGGTTTTGATGGATAGAAAAAACTAAACTTGGACAACGGGTCAGATTTACTATGTTGGTTTTGTGAGACTTGCAAGTTCATGTGTTTATAATGTGAATTGCTTGTTTTTCTTTCACTGTGTAATGTTTTCGTGGAATGCTATTTTGTTTTACCTGAATTTTATTGTAGCTTCATGAAATTTTCTTTGTGCTTGGTGTATGCTTTCCGGAATGTTATTGCAGCTTCATTTATGCTTTTACAAAATTCATTGTTGATTTAGATGCTGTAAACAAGTTGTTATTCTTGGTTTCAATATTCACCAATTTTTCCAGCTTTGTGCAAACATCACATACATGTGCACACAATCACAGACAAATATTTAGATTAAAACTTGTGCCCTTTTTTTTAGTTTTACATTTTTCGGTTTCTTTGAAGCACTTGGCAGAACAAGTATATAAATTACTTACATGTAATTTTGTTCTGATGTTGAGCCATCGCTTAAATTTTGTCTTGTCAACATGGTATCTTGAAGTCGTTGTGTCAAAAAGTTATATCACTAGTTGCTATGGTAAAGGCACTTGAGAAGGATAAGGAACATCTTATGATCAATCTTCATATGGCTGATGAGGAGGTAAAGAGTGCAGAATATTTTCAACTTCCACTTGTTTTCCTTATGTCTTCTCGCTCGATTTTCCCTGGAAAACTCTATTGTACAAATGATATCCCATACTTGTGATGTATATACATCAAAATATCATAGAATGAGATCCCATATATCTCGTATGTAGGTCAAATTGCTTTTTGAAGAAAACAAAGTCCTAGATATGGAGAATAAAAGATTACTGAGGTTGTACCAGAAGGAAAGAAACCATTCTGCTTCTGGTGGAAAACATACTGACAGTGCATCAGCGAAGGTGGGACAAAGGGAAAATAACAGCTTTGACTCATTTATTCTTTATGTTGGTCTGCTCTAAGCCTCTAACACATGTATTGTTTCTTCATTGCAGTCAAATAAGCGCAAATCAAGCTCTAAGACAAGCAGCCTGATTCAAGGGAAGATTGATTTAGTGAGCAAGAAGCAGCAAGACAGTCCCTATCACCCTTGCGCTGTAACTCCCCTAACTCTAGAACCTATAAGAAGTAGTAAGTTTTTTGAACAATCCCATTTGTACGTTGTGTGTTTGGGATGCCTTATGATTGATTAGGGTTAAGATCACAGAGAAAGTTAGGAATGACTAACAAGTTTGATTGTAAGAAGTCTTTTAGTAAATGGTTAGGCGTTTTTCTGTTCAAAGGCCATGCCAAGTGCTTGTCTTTACAGCTTCGGTAACTTCTAGGAATGCAGTAGTTAATTGCAGTTGTGAAATTGTTTGCGTTTATGATGAATTTCTCTGATCATGTTCTCGTATATTACTATTGCCTATTAGTTTTAAAAATCTGTTCACAAAAGGTATATACTTTGACAATGCTCTCAACCCGTTCATGAAATTGATCTGATAGATAAAAGTTACTAAACCCACAAAATTAAAGCGATGAAACTAATAGATAACGAAGTTAACATTTCGGTTCTTCCGTTCACCATCAAAAGGATTTCCAAAACCTCTTCAGAACTAGGAACCAGGAGATACATCATCCAGCTTGTTGCTCTGCATCGGAGTTAAATCTATTGGCCTAATAAGTGCTTCCACATCTTCCTCGTATACTACACAGAAATTATACCTCTACACTTCCACATCTTCCTCATATCTGTTTGCCCAATCATTGCTAAACGGTTTCTGGATAGAAGGCTATAGAGCTTCATCTTCATCAAGTTTATCGACGTCAAACCTTGCGCCTCCGCAACATGTTGGATCAACAAATGTCTGATAAATCATTCATCCATATCCTATCGTCCACTTACAATTAATTACAAGAATGTCAACTCACGCTAACACCGCCTCTTAAGTTATGTATACATGTACTCCAGCGGCATACTTATCATGTAAAACACTTGACTCGTCATCCATCATATAAATCAGGTGTGCTAGAGTTTTCTTCTTTTTTGGACACTGTTTTGCCCAATGACCTTGTTTTCCACATAAGAAACATTTATTGGATTTAGGAAGAGGATTTCTTCTTCTAAGGCTTGCCTTTCTTTTTCGAAAATCAGCACAAGTTTGCTGTTGTGCATCCAAACTTCTGTAAATCGTTCCTGCAAAATTTTGCAAGTGTCGTATGTCCAGAAGCTTTCATGATTTGCCTTAATTGCTGAGATTGACAATGCTCCTTGAGTAAGGCTTCTGCTTTCTGGTACAGGCTTGCCAGACTGCAAGTAGTTAAGTCTTGAATTCCTTTATCTTGTAACTTCCTTTCAAGCATCTTCATGCTGACATATTCAGAATGAAAGTCCTTTTGATTACATCTATGTTTTTTGTTGAAGCGAAAGAATAACTGTTCTTGTTTAAGATAGTAATCCTATAGCCTAAGGATGTATGGATTCTCGAGAAGAGAGGAGCCGTGGTGGTCCCTCCCGGATCGCCTGGATCCCACGAGTAAATAGAAAGTTGGATCTACATTGGATCTCACCTGAATCGCCCCATCTATCCTCCTAAGTAGAAGTTGGTTTTCAAACCACGATTAGAACAGGAGAAGTATGCCATTCTAATGTGCCTTAGATGATTCACATCTTAGGGTCAGGCACTGATGAGCACATTGAACTATCCTTGTGGCTGAGAGCCCTCACAGCCCAGGCATAACGACGCAATTATCAGGGGCGCGCTCTACCATTAAGCTAATAGCCCGTCGTGCAGGCCCCCCGCTAGAGGCTCGCTATGCCAAAAGCGAAAGAAACCCCATCCCTTTCTTTCATTTTTTACGCCTCCACGTCGCCACATGGGGACGTAAAAAAGGGGATCATATTAACTTGTTCCGACCTAGGATAATAAGCTCATAAGCTTAGTCTTACTTCACCATTGAGAAACGAAAGAAGGCTTCCATCTCCAAGTTTAACTCAGACGTAGCTCACTTCTTTTTGGGTGTGAAGCAGTGTCAAACCAAAATACCCAACAAGCATTAGCTCTACCTGAAAAAAGAGGTGATCCAGTCGCACCTTCCAGTACGGCTACCTTATTACAACTTCACTCCAATCACTAGCCCTACCTTTGACATCCCCCCCTTGCGGTTAAGGTAACGACTTCGGGTATGGCCAACTCCCATAGTGTGATGAGCGGTAAATACAAGGCTCATGAATGAATTCACCGCCATATGGCTAACCGGCGATTACTAGCTATTCTAGCTTCATGTAGGCAAGTTGTAGCCTACGATCTGAACTGAGGACGGGTTTTTGGAGTTAGCTCACCTTCATGGGATCGTGACCCTTTTGTCCCTGCCATTGTAACACATGTGTCGTCCAGGGCATAAAGTGTGTAATGACTTGACATGATCCTCACCTTGATCACAGCACTTTTTTTTAATGCACTTTTCTGCACATCCTGCTTCTATTTCTTGGATACCTACAAACTCTCTAGAGACAAGAGTAAGTAGGAATGACATCGATTGTGGTGTGTTTAGACAAGCATGTCTAGTATTTTCTCCCAAACATATCAACAATTTGCGAAGTGATCCAATGCAAGTTGTAGCTAATCTTTCTGCCTCACCTTTGAAACCCAAAGTAGGGTTTATTAGAGCTTCTCTTTCTGTACAGGCAGCCATTTTCTCTAGGTAGCCGTCTTTTCTTCTGGATCAATAGGATCGATATTCCAGAAGTTTGTGTGATAGAGGAAAAGTATGTAGAAGAAATGATGAAAGAAAAAGAGTGAATGAAAAATTTGTGAAAGGCATGTCAAATGAATCTGTAAGGGAAAAGTAAGCAGGAGAAATGAAGAATGAAAAAGAGTAAAGGAAAAAATTGTGAAATGCATGTCAAATGAATTTGTATATAAAAAATAGTTATCAAATAAGAATCTGGATCCTTGCCGGATTCTCATTGTGAGGATCCGGAGATCCGTTCATCGTGTTCGTTTATTATACATCGTGTGGTTAAAAATCAATTTAAATATTTTTATTTAAAATTAAACATAAACATTACCTGATAAAAACTGATTGCACAATGTACGATAAATGAACAAGATTCACAAATCTCTAAGATCATTATAAAAAAGAGACAGTTTTAGGTGATGTTATAGACATTAACATTTACTTGTCAATTCTGCTAGTATAAAGTCAAACTCTCACTTTGAAATCACAAGCTTCGACAACAACAACAACAACAAAAATTGAACTTTAACGAAAAGCTCACAGTACTGTTTATTTTAACGAAAAATCACATTTTAACACTAAAAAGTCAATTATGATACTATTCACTTTACCTTTTATTTTTTCATTTTCATTAAAACTCAAAATTTTCAAATATTTTTCATTAGTTTTCCTAAAAACAAATTGGACAAATAAAGCACCGAAAGCACATCTGATGGGTACTCTTTAATGCATGTGTTAGTTATATTTAAGTCTATTGATCTCTTTATACACTCATGAATACAACTAATTTTTGCAAACTATTTTTTCGTCTTCTTGATAGAAAAGGTGGGCCCATGCACTTAGTTGGATTAATATGGTTTGATTTTTATTAGGTTTTTTCTTCATGTCTCGAAAATTACCGAGGAAAGTTCCACCATTGTGAAACTAGAATAATACAGGCAAATTACAAAACGTGAAGCGAATGAGAAAAAGAGATTGGGGATGACCATTCACTTTGATCAGCCTATATAATATTAAGGGTTTTTTAGATATAAATTCATGCAACACTTATTTTCTGGACAAAAATTCATCTCATTTTAAACATCTAAATAAAATCCAAATTTGAAGTAGAATGCCATGTAAACAAATAAATACCTATTATTTTCAAACTATTTACAATTGTGCCACAACACTCTAATTATGTTAATGAATTTAATTATTCACCATAATTGTGAGAAATAAGTGCCTTATAAAATTATCTACCTTATACTTCTCTTACCATCATATGTTTCATTTCTTTTATTTGTTTGACAATCATTGTAGGTAAATTATCTTGCATGTATGTATTAGACACCTTTTGTTAAAATTATATATATGCATACAAATAATTTATCTATATTTATGTAAAATAATATGTATTTAATTTATTTGAATCAATTGGCTAAAAACACTTATTTATTTTTCATGTGATATTACATGTATACTAGCCACATTTTGTTATTATTATATAGAGTGTGCAATCAATCGACATTCTTTTATTTTGTAGGTAAATTATTTTGCATGTAGGTAAATTTATATATATATATATATATATTTGCAAAATATTGGTATTTAATTAATTTTGAATAAAAAATATTTATTTATTTTGTAGGTAAATTATTCTGCATGTATCATTTTATAATTTACTAGGAACTTATATTGTTATATATGTTGTGCAAAATAATTTACCTATGTTACATTTAAAATATTGATAATTTTGAATAAAATAACTTTTTTATATTGTAGAATATACTAATTGTTAGCATCATGTGAAAACAACCATATAAGGAACATTGGTATCATGTAAATTTTTGCTATTAAATACATAGGAATCATGACATTTAAATTTTTTTTTTTTTACAAATCCCCATATGGTATTTGAACATTTAATTGAATAAAATAATGTAAAATAAATGTAGATAATAAATGAGAGACCCAAAGTAAGTGTTATTAGGGGTAATTTAGACATCCAAATATACAAAT